CTTTCTCCATTTCAACCTTTTTAATTTCCCTTTCATCTTTTTCCTTTTCTATATTCTATTTCTTCTTTCTGAATTTGCAATTGAATTTGAGTTTCTTAATCTCAAAATTTCTGAAGTTTCTTCTTTCACCATTTCACCTCATGTCCAAAAACTTCCTTATCAATAAAGTGATTCAAAACAATTTTCCAAATCTGAAATTTCCTCATAGCATGTTTGGCCTTAAGTTTGAAATGTGAAGAAATTTGCAATAAATCTGATTTGTGCAATCCACTGACTGTCTCAGGGGTAGGGGATTAAAAAACTTCTCAAGTTCAAACACCATTTTACTGGTTTCACAATTTACTTGTTGCAAAATTGCAGACATTTGAAATATATTTCATAAAAGGTCTCAAATGTCATTTGGCCTTGAAACTTCTTAAAAACGAATGCCGATTTCCGAAAGTAATCTGATTTTTATAGCCAGACAGTGCTCTTTGCTGCTAAATTTCAAGGTGATTTCTGTTGCGTTGTGGCGATGCCTCTTTAATCCTTGTAAGAAATCTCATCAAAATCAACATTTTCAAGTAAAGTCGATTCTTTTACTTATCAACACTTTTGTTACATATTTTGAGGATTGTTTGAACACAATAGGTAATTAATAGATTTTACCAAATCCAAAATGTCTGTGCGTTTCTTTTTAGGATAGTATATATAAACTATTCATATACTAGCATGCTTGTATCAACAACATACTGCCTGAATGCTTCTTCGGTTTGATGTACCTCAGTAATGTTGATACTGAAAATAGAGTGGTACTCGTTTTTATGTTCTGCTCCTGAAAGGAGCACTACCAGCAATTTCAGTTGTAGTCAAACTTGTTGCCATGGAAACTAAAAAATTATTGAACGGTTAAGAAATATTGAACGGTTTTTATGTTCTGCTCCGGAAAAGACAAATTTGCACGGACGGACGGACGGACGCACGGATGCAGGGACAGACGGACGGAGTCCAAACACACACACACACACACACACACACACACACACACAACGCAAATGCGTTGCGGAGATAATAAAAGGGGATGAGATACTTCGACAAGTAGTGGGCATCCCCATGGGCACCACTTGTCCTCTCCGTTTATAGTGATGTGTTTCTTTTAGCATTGGTTTGGATGTTGTTTAACGCCGCATTCAGCAACATCCCAGCTATATGGCGGCGGTCTGTAATTAATCAAGTCTACCAGACAATCCAGTGATCAACAGCATGTGCATCGATCTACGCAAATGGTATGCCATGACAACGGTGAAAGGGTTCCCGAAGTTGTAAAAACGCAATCTCAGTAATTTTCCTTGTGAATGAAATATGTTTTTACACAAAATAATTATGATCTGATATTGCAGTAATCGTCGGATAGCTAATTCATTTTCACTTATGTAACTACCTGACCTAGATATTCAGAATACATTTTATGCATATGGAAAGGGATGTTATTTACCACAAATCTGCACGTGACAACGTTGTTAGCAACGTCACACTCCTGACATGATGAGTTGAAGATGACGACGGCACTTTCATCACTGTATGCTTTTCCATCATTGGAGACTGACACTAGGTAACCACGGGCAACGGTGTTGGAAGCGCTCATTACAAGAGGTGCTGCAGGCAGGGAGCAGACGCCTTCAGCAATGCTTTCCACTTCCAGTGCCTGGGGTAACGCTTCACCATAAGTTACACTATTGTTGTAGTCTATCTGTCAACAGCCAATGTATAACGTATATATTCCGTATAGATTCACGCCTTGAAATGTGTAAATGTCCAGCGTCCAGTGTGCAGATCCAGATGGATACTAGGCGCTATATAAATGAATTATTATCATTAAATGAAAACGAACTTACACTAAACAGTAATAGTGAAACTAGTGCTATCAGAATTGTTATTCAAACATTTCTGTGTATATAATAGTGTCAGATATTTATCTAACATATTGTGCACAAGTAATTGTAAATAACTCTAAATTTGAAGGAATGAATGTGCTTTTGTAGACAATTGCTGCAATAAGCAACAGATCTATTTTGAGGTTCGACATATATATATATATATATATACACACACGCACGCACGCACGCACGAACGCACGCACGTACACATACATAATGACAAACAACATACCTCAAAGGATCTAGTGCGACAATTGCTGAAACCGTTCTGCACGATATGCTCTGTCAGCATGTGGCTGACGTTGCAGGTGCGGGCGGTGACATCACAGACGCCATCCTCTTTCAGCCCAAATGTTCTCGGCGGTTCGGTGATATCTACAGAGCAATCCAACGCTCCATATCCAGCCTCACACTGACATTCACCTGGTTGAGAAACATTCTCAAAGTCAATTAATAGACGAGAAGACAAGCTACAAATGCTATGTACAAATATTCTGCGTACCGTTCCAGAAATATGACAAACATGAACAATACCCTAAAAATGAGGTGACTTTAGAAAGAAGTAAAGATTTTCTCCTCTGAACACGAATGATGAGAGGCATGATTCGCACTTGACAGTAAACAGTTACGTTATAATGGAGCCATGTTGGTGTGTGCGAGAGGGTTTATTGATATTGAACTCAACTGACTTACGGCCTGAATTAAATGGGAGTGGGAATTAGCGAATACAATTGTAAGTATTAATCTCGATTTCCTAGTTTACCAAATACATCCTTCAAGTAAATAAACTTGGACCTATGTAGCTGCGGGAAAAACGATATAAATATACAATCTTTCAGCGCCAAAACGCGGCAATTTCAACTTTTCCCTTTGCTTTAAAAGCATTTGCAGAAATATTCGCCAAAACGTCACCAAGAAAACATTCAAAGCAAAATGCACGTGTAAGTAAGCGAAAAAGCATGCGGTATCGATTACTCTAAAAAGACAAACGTGTTTAATTTCGTCATTCGTTTTTGCATGAAAAAGAGGAAATTGTCATGCCACGACTGAGGCCGCCAGTCAAAACATCGCTATAGACGGCGTTGAATCTGGGAAAGTCGCAGTCTGCAGTTGCCCGACATTTCAACGTTCATCAGAGCACCATATCTCGCCTTTTGGATCGTTTCCTGCAGACCATTTCCGCCCAAGATCGCCCGAGAATGGACCGTCCAAGAGTCACCACCTAGGCCCAAGACCGCTCCATTCGGGCTGCTCGCTTGCATCATCGTCTTGCCACAGCCGTGGATACGAATTTCCAACCAAACTGTCAGGAATCGATTGCGTGAAGTGGGAATTCGACCAAGAAGGCCAGTTGTCGCCCCTGTTTTGATAACCTTCCATAGGCGTAATCGCTCGCGGTGGTGTCGTAGAGTCTGGAACTGGAACCTTAGGAACTAGAGGCGAGTTTGGTTCAGTGATGACGTTTTGCCCCTAATTGCATGCAATAGGTCGACAGATTCGATGGCGGAAATGTCATGGTGTGGAGTGAACTATCCAACACACAACGATCTGATTTAGTGGTGGTTCAGGGAAATTTGACAACATATCGGTACATCAACCTTGCATGTCACATGATTCCGATTATGGACTGATTGAGGGAGTTGTTTCTGCAGGACAACGCTACTTCACAAACAGCACGCCTCCCGGTCCGCCACTTTGCCAGTTCTAACGTCAAAATCTTGCTATGGCCTTCCCGAACAGGATATTTAAACCCAATAGAACACCTTGGGGTAAACTCGACCGATGTGTACGTTAACATCAAAACACGCTCAGACACATCCACACCTGGCCATCACATTGCAGGAACAGTGGGGAAGAATTCCACAAGAGTAACTTTGTCGACTTATCAAGTCTGTGCCGAGACGGTGCCAAGCAGTAATTGCTGCCAATCATGGCCATACAAAGTACTGACTTTGAAGCTATCTTGTGGACTCAAGTAAACAGTAACACAACAATAAAATGCTGCACTGTTGTGTTGGCAAACTCGTTGTCTACAGACGTGTGAATTTTCACCTTTTTACCGTTGAAAGTACATGAAATAATTGCTCTTAAACTAACGCAACAAATTCTTCTGAAATGGCTCATGCGGCTCAAGAGTGTATATGTAACATCAAGTAAATCCTTTGATACATCGCGGACGATGACCAAACTCCCGACCTTAGCTAATGTTCTATCGACTAGACCACAGAGAATGACTTTGATCTGGCTCCTATAGCAGTACCATTCCTGCAAGCTATGCATGACTTTAATGGTCGACCCTCTTTACTGCAAGACGACAACGCTAGGCCTCATAGGTCACGGAACTCCTTAGGCAGCGGGTTGTAGAGCTCGCCAGACCCCAACCGAATTGAGCATGCCTGGGGTGAACACACGTCATACAACACCAGTGAATCTCTCAGGACTTCGCAGAGCTCTAGTAGATGAATGGAATGCGATTCCGCAAGTTTTTTTTATGAACTTGATAAAGAGTACGAGAACAAGGTGCACCTGTGTCTTGGACGCGCGAGGAGGGTACACAAGATATTGAATGACCGATCCCGCGCGTGCTTCATGTTTGTCACTTTCATTTTGGGGTGTTGGCCTAAACAACTGAAGTTTGCTAGTACTGTTTGAACGTTTGTAAACACATTATACATTATCATGACACTCTTCGTTCTTTTATTCCTGAGAAACCTTTCTTTACATGTGCTATATATCATTTGACCCTTATTAATGACGCCTAGTATGTTTTTTTAAAGTTTCATTTGCTTCAACGTTTCCCCAAATTATCAATACAATGATGACAAATCAGTGATCATAGCCATGTCAGAGTTTCGCCCATCAGCACATTCGCATCATGGAGAAATGCCATCAGTTCTAAGCAATATGCAACGTGACGAGAATTGTTGCAAAGTTTAAGACATGTTCTTCCTTTTTCAGTAACAATATCCAATATATGGACGCAAATTGGATCTCATGCTACAACACAAAATGACTCATCCAGAAAAGTCTTACCTTTTACACATGTTCCTCTGTGACTACATTCGTTGACGCAGGAGACCTTCTGAAACTGCTCCCACTGACTCGCTGTGGTTCCATTGGCTGCAGGAGCTTTAGCAGCAGCTGTGGCGTTCATCATCACCTTCCTCCCACATTGTTCCGTCGCTGTCGCCACCGCCATGTCCGAGAAGGTGGTGTCGCCCATCAACTGTAGTACAAATATTGGGTGAGTGAGCGAGTTTAGTGTAACGCCGCTTTTAGCGATATCCGAGCAATATCACGGCGGGGGCACCAGAAATGGCCTTCGCACATTGTACCCATGTTGGGAATCCAACCCAGGTCTTCTGGATGACAAGCGAACGCTTTAACCCTGTGGTACCCCCAAATATTATACCTACAGAAAGCGTTCTTATAGTAGCAATGCTTTGGTTTTGAACAAAAGGACATTCTGGGTAAATACGACTTGTAAGTAACTTTTCGAATAAAAGCGACAAAGGGTGTTAAAAAATGTGAAAACAAAACTGACTGTGTGTACGTACTAAGTTTCAGATCTCCAGTAGATCACTGATCCACAACTTGAGGACAAATGATTTTTTCTGTCATTTTCCTGATTTGTATTACAAAATCATTGCTTTTTCGCAATAAAACCTCATGTTTTTCCAACCTGAATGGAATCTAAACTGCTTTGGATTATGTAGTGATTCTATAGTATGACCAGAAATTATTGAGGATTTTAGGAATATGTTTAATTGGATTTCTAGTATAAACATCATTGACCGGCTATCAAGTGCTTGGTTTCATTCAAGAGAGACAACTCCGTTAATCCTTTTTCATTAGTTTTGTGAAGAGTTATCCCCCTTTGTTTACTTGCTAGCAGACGACATTTTCAGTGATCTTCAGTATGGGTGATTTAGAGAAGAGGAAGTTGCCTTTAGAGTATTATAACAAGGACATCAGATCAGCTAAAGTGATTTCAAGTTTTTCTTTTGTCCACTGTTTATCGTGTTTTGAAAAATATTGCAAATGGATATGGCATTGAGCACCAGGGAGGCGCAGGTCGGACCAAAAAATTGACTGTCGATGACAGGAGGCGGCTTGGTATACTTGTTTCTAAAAACAAACGAAGGAATTTAGAAAACTTAAGGCTGGATATGATTGATAGAGGAACTGTGACTGTCTGTAAGGAGACAATTAGAACTGAGCTGCATGCATTGGGTTGGCAGAAAAGTCGAGGAATTCCATCACCGATCATGAAACCTGAACAAAAGGAGCGAAGGTTGAACTGGTGCTTACAGCATAGAAATTTTAACTGGGACAATGTGATTTTCGCCGATGAAAGTTCTGTGTGGCTGTTTCCTAATACACTGAAATTCTGGACCAAACAAACTAAAAACCCTTTGTATCAGCGCTCAAAGTACAGTCCGAAATTTAACGTGTGTGGTGGCATATCTGTGTTAGGGGCAACGCCCCTCTGTGTATTTGAAGGGAATATAAACAGTGAGCGGTACACAGATATTCTCGAGGGACACTTACTTCCATCTGCTCACGTGTTCTATGGAAATGTTTGGATTTTCCCGCAGGACAACGACCCAAGACATCGTTCAAAGCATTCACAGGCCTGGTTTCGGACCCAATATGACATTATTAGATTGGCCAAGCTATAGCCCTGACCTAAATCCAATAGAAAATGTTTGGGGACTTATGAAGGAAAGTGGCAATAAGAAAAATCTGACAAATATTGCTGAAATGAAAGAAGAGGTGGTCCGATATTGGCACAGCATGGACCACGACTTTCTAACTTCTTTGATCAGTAGTATGCCCCGCCGCATTGAAGCCTGCATTGCTGCCCATGGTGACTTGACAAAATACTAACTGTTCACCTGTCTTTGAATCTGGTCATGTTCTGCTAATATTCACACTTAATACGTGAGTAATGAGTGAAAAAACTTTAAAAATTTACAATCTTAAAATTCTCAATAATTTCTGGTTGTACTGTATTAACCACGAATGATGCCTTTTTGAATAAACACAACGCACCTAATTACAATGTCTCTCGGAAATCCATATTAATCATTTCTTGGAAAGATGAGGGATTCAATGACTGAAGCACAAATGACAGACTGAGTGTATACTTCTCTAACCTGTATATCCAGAATGCAGTCCTTTTACTCCGCTCTATGCTTTCTTCATCAATGTTTTGACACTGGTTGACAGACGCTGATTTGTTAAAGAGTTCTTCACAGTAGGCACCAGCTGACTCTGCTGTCCATCCGTTCATCCACTCCGTTGACTGACAATATACTCACACAATGTTAAGTAATTATCACATATCAATATTGTCCATCCGTTCATCCACTCCGTTGACTGACAATATACTCACACAATGTTAAGTAATTATCACATATCAATATTATCCATCCGTTCATCCACTCCGTTAACTGACAATATACTCACACAATGTTAAGTAATTAACTCATATCAATATTGTCCATCCGTTCATCCACTCCGTTGACTGACAGTATACTCACACAATGTTAAGTAATTATCACATATCAATATTGTCCATCCGTTCATCCACTCCGTTGACTGACAATATACTCACACAATGTTAAGTAATTATCACATATCAATATTGTCCATCCGTTCATCCACTCCGTTGACTGACAATATACTCACACAATGTTAAGTAATTAACACATATCAATATCATCCATCCGTTCATCCATTCCGTTGTCTGACAATATACTCACATAATGTTAAGTAATTAACACATATCAATATTGTCCATCCGTTCATCCACTCCGTTGACTGACAATATACTCACATAATGTTAAGTAATTAACACATATCAATATTGTCCATCTGTTCATCCACTCCGTTGACTGACAATATACTCACACAATGTTAAGTAATTAACACATATCAATATTATCCATCCGTTCATCCATTCCGTTGACTGACAATATACTCACATAATGTTAAGTAATTAACACATATCAATATTGTCCATCTGTTCATCCACTCCGTTGACTGACAATATACTCACATAATGTTAAGTAATTAACACATATCAATATTGTCCATCCGTTCATCCACTCCGTTGACTGACAATATACTCACACAATGTTAAGTAATTATCACATATCAATATTGTCCATCCGTTCATCCACTCCGTTGACTGACAATATACTCACACAATGTTAAGTAATTAACACATATCAATATTATCCATCCGTTCATCCATTCCGTTGACTGACAATATACTCACATAATGTTAAGTAATTAACACATATCAATATTGTCCATCCGTTCATCCACTCCGTTGACTGACAATATACTTACATAATGTTAAGTAATTAACACATATCAATATTGTCCATCCGTTCATCCATTCCGTTGACTGACAATATACTCACATAATGTTAAGTAATTAACACATATCAATATTGTCCATCCGTTCATCCACTCCGTTGACTGACAATATACTCACACAATGTTAAGTAATTATCACATATCAATATTGTCCATCCGTTCATCCACTCCGTTGACTGACAATATACTCACACAATGTTAAGTAATTATCACATATGAATATTGTCCATCCGTTCATCCGCTCCGTTGACTGACAATATACTCACACAATGTTAAGTAATTAACACATATCAATATTGTCCATCCGTTCATCCACTCCGTTGACTGACAATATACTCACATAATGTTAAGTAATTAACACATATCAATATTGTCCATCCGTTCATCCACTCCGTTGACTGACAGTATACTCACACAATGTTAAGTAATTATCACATATCAATATTGTCCATCCGTTCATCCATTCCGTTGACTGACAATATACTCACACAATGTTAAGTAATTAACACATATCAATATTGTCCATCCGTTCATCCACTCCGTTGACTGACAATATACTCACACAATGTTAAGTAATTAACACATATCAATATTGTCCATCCGTTCATCCACTCCGTTGACTGACAATATACTCACACAATGTTAAGTAATTATCACATATCAATATTGTCCATCCGTTCATCCACTCCGTTGACTGACAATATACTCACACAATGTTAAGTAATTAACACATATGAATATTGTCCATCCGTTCATCCATTCCATTGACTGACAATATACTCACATAATGTTAAGTAATTAACACATATCAATATTGTCCATCCGTTCATCTACTCCGTTGACTGACAATATACTCACACAATGTTAAGTAATTAACACATATCAATATTGTCCATCCGTTGACCAACTCCGTTGACTGACAATATACTCACACAATGTTAAGTAATTATCACATATCAATATTATCCATCCGTTGACTGACAATATACTCACACAATGTTAAGTAATTAACACATATCAATATTGTCCATCCGTTCATCCATTCCGTTGACTGACAATATACTCACACAATGTTAAGTAATTAACACATATCAATATTGTCCATCCGTTCATCCACTCCGTTGACTGACAATATACTCACACAATGTTAAGTAATTATCACATATCAATATTGTCCATCCGTTGACCAACTCCGTTGACTGACAATATATATAATCGCACAATTTTAAGTAATCAACACATATCAATATTGTCCATCCGTTCATCCACTCCGTTGACTGACAATATACTCACACAATGTTAAGTAATTAACACATATCAATATTTTCCATCCGTTCATCAACTCCGCTGACTGACAATATACTCACACAATGTTAAGTAATTATCACATATCAATATTATCCATCCGTTGACTGACAATATACTCACACAATGTTAAGTAATTATCACATATCAATATTGTCCATCCGTTGACCAACTCCGTTGACTGACAATATACTCGCACAATTTTAAGTAATTAACTCATATCAATATTGTCCATCCGTTGACTGACAATATAACCACACAATTTTAAGTAATTAACACCTATAAAAAAAGGTACTTTCATTAAATGAAAACTTGTAACTAACTGGGTCATTTAGATCTGTGAAGATCCGGGTGAGAATTGGTCATCAGTAACCCATGCTTGTCGTAAAAGGCGACTAACGGGATCGGGAGGTCAGGCTCGCTGACTTGGTCGATACATGTCATCGTATCCCAGTTGTGTAGGTCGATGTTCATGCGGTTGATAATTGGATTGTCTGGTTCAGACTTTATTATTTACAAGCCGCCATCATAAAGCCGGAATATTGCCGAGTGCGGCGTGAAACAACCCACCAACCAACCACTGGGTCATGTCACATTGAGGTTTGTACATAATTAATCAATTGGTAAGGTCTTCACGCTAAAATGGGAAAACGGTTATTTAAAACTGTTTATAGACAAAATGTATCAACAGCTTCCTTTGTGTGCAAAAGATAATTTTCACATTTACCTGAATCTATCTACCTGTAACTATTTTATACTCATAACCAATGCAGAAATTCAGCTATGACCAAAATAGGGTATCCATTTGCAGTGTACAACGTTATAGACTCGTTGTAGTCTCAATGTTTCGGCTGTTATATTTGAAGTGCAAGAGCGCCACAAAAATCACTTACCTTGACCTTATGATATTAACGTGATATTAAGAATTCGCTTTCACACTGATACACAATTCCTGCTATGACTTTTGACATTATTATTTTCATCAGACGACAAACTTCGGAATCCAGCGAGATAATACTTTTTCATTTTTCAAGTTTGTGGGATGTCGGAATATATATTCTCTCATTGGAAATATGTACTGTACTGTCAACATTTTGCTCAGTCACTCAGTGAGCGGTCCTTGTGGATTTCCGTGATTATTTCGTTTGCTGCTAACGCCACTGACCATGCAGGACAGGTGTCGCCTTAGTAGTTCTCCCTGTCAAACTTATCTTTGCCCAGATGAAAAACAGCCTATGTGTCTAATAAGAAACAAGTTCCTTATGTGGTGTTGTACTCTACTACAATGACAGTTCAGTGTTAGTCCTTTTCTGCAAATGCTCGGTGATGTTCATCAACTTTATTTTCAAGAGGTGAAAGACTCGTCTCTATTTCTTTTCACAGTTCTACACGGTTTGAAAATATGTGGGAAAAGCATTGGGAGAGGTGTTCCTACCTGTTGTCGCTTCTGAATAGATGCCATCGTGCCAAAATGGTATATGTTTTATGGGTAAACTAGGACCCTTGGTATTTCAGCAATATGCATTGCTTGTGCTTCACCAAATTACAGTGCCCCATTTCTAAGTTATATTGTATTATAGTGACATGTCATTATATATCGAAATGCTCTTCAGTCAGATGATAGGATTTCACCCACGTGGACTTGCAGTTCTAATAAAAAAAGATTACGGATAAAAGACGCCAAACCCAACCTTGAATAACTCCAATGCAAACACAAAATGGGTTACTGACTTTGTCCTTTTTAACAGTGCATGACTAACCTTCACTCAGCCTTCTAAGTTTTCTGGCAATATTTGAATACTAGCCGTTCTCTAAGAAAGCCAATATCATCCACACACTTCTGATATAAAAAAAGGATTAAAAGTATATAACAATACCCTTCGATTTCGTGATTCAAGATTCGGTCCAATCGATCGTCTTCGTCTTGTCCTGATTGCACAAGAATTCTTATCATTCACTCGTATGTAGTTCGATGGGTATATGCATTGCTTAGCGTTGGTGGCAGGACACAGAACGTTATCGTGGGCGCTGGTTGAAGATTCATCAGGCTTAATCTCACACGTACAATAGGAGGCCGAGACTGTTGTGGCGTTCAGGTCCCTTACAACTTCGTCGTCAAACAGGGAATTGTGCTTATCCAGACTGAAGCAAATAAATAAATGTTCAATGTTTGGAGGATTTATCACACAAATGCGATACCGAAAATATGATCACATATCCGTTATGTGTAGATGATTCATAACACTTGCCACGCCCAGGGGACCCCCTATTAATACATTAATACCTATCCTTGCTGGTAATATCAGGATTTCAGTGAGTGAATGCCAGTGTCGGGAATCGAACCCGGGACTTCGGCGTGACGAGCGAACGCCCCTGAGCATTTCAAGTATTGAGATGGTGTAATGTAGTGTAGGTTCAGATAATTACTTCAGAGCCTAGACTGAATCAGTGATGAATAGTGAGTGAGTGAGTTTAGTTTAACAATACATTTCAGAAATGTCACGGCGGGGGACACCAGAAATGGGCTTCACACATTGTAATCATGTGGGGAATCGAACCCGGTTCTTCGGCGTGACGAGCGAACGCCTGAACAGCTAGAGGCTACCCCACCGCCCCCAGTGACGATTAGGACAGTGGTCATGACTGATGGGTGACATAACAGTCACATCTAACTACCCCTTGATGCGCTGCAGGTACGCTCTCGGTATTTTTTGTGCGTCTCTCCGGACGCAGTGTTTTGAGTGAGTGAGTGAGTTTAAGTTTACGCCGCACTCAGCAATATTCCAGCTAATAATCGAATCTGGACCAGACCAGTGTTTTGAGTAATCTGCATCCATTATCTATATTTGTGCGTACTTGACGCACATTTGTGCCTCGCATAAACCACTGCTAACAGATATAAACGGCAATCCATCTTTACTCGATTCAAAACTAATACACGAATGCCTTAACGCTACTTGACAATCAAACAACCCTTTAATCCGTTCGCCCTCAGAAGCCTTCGAAATCATCGCCATGGGCTGCTAACGGCGATCACGCAGTGAATCAAGTGGTGTCATGACATATGCATGCATACCTGATAGACTGACAAAGTTAGTGCTTGCAGCTTCAGAAGACCTAAATATCAATTTAATAACTAGCCAAACTCCTGATAGGTGAGCATTGTTTTGTGCCGCATTAGGCAATATTCCAGCATTTGTGTGGAAGGTGGCTGAGTGGGTTAGATGGCTAACTTCATGAGCTGGTGATTGTTGCCTCACTCTTAGATGGGACTCAACCCAAAACGTACTAGCATTTGTATTTTACTAAGTGACCCGTGAAGCTTAACTATGTGAGTGAGTGAGTTTAGTTTTACGCCGCTTTTAGCAATATTCCAGCAGTATCACGGCGGGGGACACCAGAAATAGGCTTCTCACATTGTACCCATGTGGGGAATCGAACCCGGGTCCTCTGCGTTTCGAGCGCTGTAACCATCAGGCTACCTCAACACTCCTACAAATATTGTACCTACAGAAAGCGTTCTTATAGTAGCAGTGCTAGAACAATTGAACATTCTGCGTAAACACGACTTGTAAGTGACTTTTCCAATATAAGCTGCAAACGGCATTCAACCGGAAAAAGTCAAGCTGCCAAACACAGTCACCCATGCAAGATCTCCGTGAGCAACGTTGCTTAACTTCAACTGATTTCTGATTTGGGCTCTGTGCACAGGACCACACCACATTACCACATTGCCTGCTTCAAAATCCAATATTTACTACAGTCACTGGAATAATAATTTTCTGACTGCTCTTACCCGTGAAGATCCGGGTTAGATTTGGTCTTCAACAACCGAATAATCGGGTGGTCAGGCTCGATAACTTGGTTGACACCAATGTCATCGTATCCCAATTGCGTAGGTCGATGCTTATGATGTTGATCACTGGGATGTCTGGACCAGCCTCGATTATGTGCAGACCGCCACCGTTTAGGTGGAACATATCTGAGTGCGGTGTTTAACAACAAACCAACAAATCTAAACTTAATCGGTCATGGGAGAATAGTCTATATGGGCTGAGACGAATGGCAGTTGTACATACCTCCATGAATCTGAAAAGTCTTTGTAGGTTTTAAAATCGTAACACCCACATTGTGCACCTGCAGCATATCCCCCATTCTTCAATTTCAAGTCATCGCAGCAGTCTCCCGTCAGTGTTCCACAAAGACCCGATGTGAGGCCTATGTCAGCCTCGGATGGATAGATGAACACATTCAGAATAATGTTTCCTACGTCAACCTTGATCGTTGTTCCCGTAGGCAAATACACCTTAAATTAAATAAAATGTCGTGTCAAAGATATGTAACATAATTACTCAGGTAAAAAGCATTTTGTCGTTATATTTCACCAAAATAGCAAGCATCTGGTGATCCCCTACGAAATTTGGCTAAGGTATGACTTGACTCACTGATTTAGGTGCCGCAAATCATCGGTTTGCTGTTCCAATATTCTTTGTATGTATGTTTGTTTTGTTTCACTACTTTATCAGCTATGTTTCATCTAAACAGTTTTGTTTAGTCAATTCAGTGGGTAAACCGATGGGCAACTTATAACGCCGTGGAAATGGTTTTCTCCCTGGTTACGCGGTCCGTGCGAGTTGCTTCACCTGGCCTATTTCTGTGACATAACGCTAATATGCCTTGCGGTGGGTAGCATAGTGCTGAAAGCGTTAGCGATTCCTCACATAGGTACAATGTGTGAAGCCCACTTCTGGTGTTCCTCGCCGTGACATTGCTGGAATATTGCTAAAAGCGACGTAAAGCCAAACTCTCTCACTCATTCTGACATAGAGCTAATATGCCGCGACGCTACCTTTCACTTTAGACATACCTCTGGCATAGTGCTAATAGACTGTGACGCTACCGTTCACAATGGACATTCCTCTGTCCATAAATAACCCATTAAATTTCCATAATCAATAACATAATTTTCATGTATAGAGAGACTAAATTACTGTCAGTAATTTAGTCACCATAATATTAATATTCAAAATTAAGAGAAACTGTCTGATTTACCTGTCACAAAGCTGCTTGTTAGAATCATAAAACGAAGCGATGTTTACCTGATACTGACTGTGTTTCTTGTAGACGGTCATCTCCTCAGGGCGGCCTCCACATGTGGCAAACCCGATTTCCCAAGGTACGCGGTAGCCAGCACACCGGTCGAATCGGAACACAGTCCGTCCTGAACGTATAGCGATCGCACATGGACACGTTGGAGTTGCTCTGTACCCACATGGAGCTGTTGTCATCTGAACCTGCAGAAAATCACAGCTGCTTCCATGTACATGGAATACCATCATCAAACCATCAAACACATATACCGAATAGGGTAAATAACAAACAGGGAATAAGTGAGTGAGCGAACATGGTTTTATGCCGATTTTAGCAATGTTCCAGTAATTTCACGGCGGGAGAAACCCAAGAAATAGGCTTAACATATATATGGGGGGAATCGAACCCAGGTCTTCAACATGACTAGCTGACGCTTTAACCATGAAGCTACTTCACCGCTTCATGTAAGATTAAACATGAAATCATACCTATTGGTTATACGTGCTTGGGTTGTCAGTCCAGATTTGGAGAAGCTATTACGCGACCATTTCATATTGGTCATTCTAGATATACCCATGTGTAACTGTTGAAAGGTGAGGATCCTCCAATATGCATCCCTTGTGATAAAATAATCACGGTCAACCATGTTCTGCATGACTGCGTTGCTTTTTCCATCACAGACGGATCAGTATTTCAGTATAAAAAACAATTAATAATTGTCTGTTTAAAAGAAATAGAAGTGATTGTAAATTCTAGATAAGTATATTTTGTAAATATTAAATAACACAAATGCCAATGGCTGAAGTGATAGTGTAAATCCAGCTATGGCCCATGCAAGAAGCAAACGTAAAGTAAGACTCCATGGTCCTTAGTATGGTGATCTACCTTCAGTTGTTGACGATCTGAGCTGGTTCTATATTGTGTTGTCTATAGTTTTAGATTTACATGCTGGCTTTACATCTGTATCTGTGATTTTCTGGTTGTTTTTGGTGTATTTCGTCAGTCAGCGGGTTATAAGATTCTTGACATATGTGACACTTGTTTTAATTTGGTCACTGTATTGCTGAAATGCTGCTGATGTGACTAGAATGTCACACAGTATGAAGAATGACAAAATTCAAACTACGACACCCGGAGTCACTTCAGTTTTGAATCTCGACTGAAATCTCCTGTTCTCTGTTGTCCACAAACATACATATGAACCGCATTTCTTGCACGACGTCCAGTTTTTGATCTGATAACAATGTCCGCCCTCTTAGATCTGATAACAATGTCTGCCCTCTTAGATCTGAAAACAATGTCCGCCCTCTTAGATCTGAAAACAATGTCCGCCCTCTTAGATCTGATAACAATGTCCGCCCTTTTAGATCTGATAATAATGTCCCTCCTCTAAGATCTGATAACAATGTCCGCCCTCTTAGATCTGATAACAATGTCAATGTCCGCCCTTTTAGATCTGATAACAATGTCCAACCTTTTCCGCCCTTTTAGATCTGATAACAATGTACGCCCTCTTAGATCTGATAACAATGTACGCCCTTTTAGATCCGATAACAATGTACGCCCTCTTAGATCTGATAACAATGTCCGCCCTTTTAGATCTGATAACAATGTACGCCCTTTTAGATCTGATAACAATGTCCGCCCTCTTAGATCTGATAACAATGTACGCCCTTTTAGATCTGATAACTATGTGTGCCTTTTTAGATCTGATAACAATGTACGCCCTTTTAGATCTAATAACAATGTGCTGCCGTTTAGATCTGATAAGAATGTACGCCCGTAAAACTACTTATATCAAAACGGTTATTAAAGCGACGTTTATATGATCCCCAATTTATACCTCAATGTTATTCTCTTCATTCTTGTACAGCACATAGTGACCAGTATACTGATGTTCGTAGTATCTGAAACAAAACAACTGGTTTTGAAGAGGGTTAACACATGCTACATGCGCAAGTAATTTCTGCAGATGTATGCGTTGATAATGTACATGTATGTCCCCGTATATTGGGCAATGTGGTCCTTGGTTCATTGCAACATTTGGTGTATGGTTTTCTCTTGTAGTCATCATATTTGCAACAGTGAATGAGTGCGGGTTTGGCCATTTCTGTGCATATGTAGATATAGTACTGGAATAAAGTAACTGTGCATTATTTGACGCTAAGCCATTTTATGCAAAAAGAAGAACACATGATTTGTGGTGTTTTCCGTAATCACTGTTTAACTGTCGACAGGTTAATATAAAACATTATCGAAATCAGTATAATTTCGTGGCACGTCCTTGAAGAGATGTGGTGTCACCATTGCCGTTGATGCAGGCTTGACAACGCTTGTCCCAATTTTGCTAACGTAAATGGCTGATTCTGGGCTTGACGTGGACGTGGCTCCATTTCATCCCAAGCGTGCTCGATAGGGGACATGTCCGGAGAAACAGCTGGTTAGGAATGTTCAGTTGTCTAAGGAAAGCATGAGCGACATGTTGGCGGGCATTATCTTGCTGAAGCATGGAGTTACGTCTCTGTCCTTGAATGAACGGCTGCACGTGAGGCCCAAAGATCTCATCCCTGTATCGCAGACTGTCATATTGCCATTGACAATGTCAAGTTGTGTCCGACCATGAGATGTGATGTCCTCCACCCGATAACGCTTACGCCACCAAACTGTCGACGTTGAACAACGCACGCGTCAGTATACCGTTCGCCTCACTGTCTGCTCACTCTTGTCCTGCCATCTGAGCAGTCCAGATGAAATCTCGTCTCGTCAGTGTACAAAACACTGTCCTAATCTTGTCCCCTGCACCGTAGATGCTGAGTGCACCAGGCCTATCGGTGGCGTTAGAACAAAACTGAACATATTGCAGGCCATCTGGGCCGGATGCTGTGCTCCTTCAGTCGGTCCCGTTCAACCCTTAGATGGGTCAGCTGAATGTGGTTGTCTTGCCTGCACAGCCGGTTGGAGACAAATCTCTCTGTAAGCCGTGACATGACGTACACGCAGTTTAGGTTGAAATTAACGTGTTTTCCACAAAAGTCAGAGGCAAGAGAATAAGCAACCGTTCTTCAAATATCAATATCAGGTGTGTGAACTTCAGGTGTCAAAAAGCATGCACAAAGTGAGTAAATTCATTGTGCACAAAGTGCACGTGCCACACGCGATACGTGATATTACAGTTCATTCAAAGTGTTTTGTTACGTGTATATTTAGGGCTATTTTTAACTTTCAAATGACTTATATTTTACGCAATTTTAGTTAGTATATAAAGCTTCCATACATTTAACACATTCAGTAATAATCTGAGTCACAAATTGAATATTCCAGCTTCACTTGACGCTTCTAGACCAGTGCTTTACACTGATTGTTTTGACAATGTTTGATACGGAATGTAGCCAATGTGTATGACAAACAGGCACATTATACAAGTATACAGAGCGATCAGTAACATTTGCACAAAGAATAGTCTGTAAGTGCTTTAGTAATATCTGTTGTGTATGTATATGCATATGTATGTGTTTCCCCGTGTGTGTGTGTGTGTGTGTGTTTGTGTACACATGTATTGCAAGTATGCAGGTATGTATTGTTTGAACATCAACATAATCAAGTTAAAAGATAAACAAAATACTTAATTATCTCCCTTTTGACATGGCTGATAAAGGGTACAGTTGAAATTCTACTTTGTCTAAACTTAACTTGCTTTACAACAAGTATTATGATATTAACTGAATTATTTTTTTCTTTGATACCAAATAAACTGTTCTGTTTTGTAAACTGTAACGGAATATTCAAATCGGTTAAAAGCAATGACTGGAGAACAATTTCACAGTCTCAGAATAGATGGGTAATTTATTCAATGTTATGTTTGCAAAAACAGGAAATTGAGAGTCTATATACTTAATCTTCAACAAAAACTGTTTTGTAGGTAAAATATTAAGAATAATTCTGTATTATCTTACCTCACACATAAATGTCGCTTTCTGATTGGCTGAGCGCTCTTCTATTATTTTCAATGTACCCTGCTTACAAGCGAGGTACATTTCAATGTACCCAGCTGTCAATGGCAACTCATTTGGTACTTCGTGGTAGTAATTCTTTATCTCGAATTACATTTAATCATGTATGATGTACGGAAATTACCGATGTTTTGCGAATGCAAATCGATGGAAGGGAGATAACTCTAAATCTGTTTTTCTTGTCAACAAAATCTAGCGATGGCTACAGAAAGATTTGTACCCGTGCTTCAAGTAATTCAAAATTAACATTAAGGTATTCAGCAAGATAAATACGTTGTTCACTGGTCACTCGGGGCCCATGGGTTGATGTACCCTCGGTGTTTGTTTTTGTTCCCCTCGCCCTTCGGGCATAAACAAACATCGAGGGTACATCAACCCATGCCCCCCTCGTGACCAGTGAACAACTTATATTGTAACCATCTTAAATCAATGTTATAGGTGCACTTTCATGGAGTAATATTGGATATTTCCTTTTGGTAGGAGATTGAGATTCAAGTTATGTTCCCAGTTTTTATCATAATGTTCTGTCTCGTATAGTATAAAAGTGTTCCATAAAAAAATTTGCAACCTGCTTCACTGAATTTTAGTTCAGACAATTTAAAAGGCTAAAGGGGATAACGAGGAAATGTTTAGAGAGGGCGACATGGCCGGTGCAGTGTGAGGCACTGGGCAAGATACGAAGAGGCAGATCCAGACAGGCAGCAGAAATTGAGGCACAGAGGCTTGAATTGAATCCTGTAGTGAATGGGCAGCCAGTGTAAAGAATGTAGGAGTTTCAGAGCGTCATCAGATTTACGTGACTGGGTCACTACACGTGCAGCAGCGTTCTGCATACGCTGAAGTTTCCTTATCTGTGTCTTACTGGCACCAGCAAGAAGAGAGTTACAGTAATCGTTCCTGCTCATAACTAGAGACAGGACAAGAATGGTGGCAGATTCGGTGGTGAGATATGGTCGGATATGTCCAATAGTACGCAGTTGAGCAAATCATCTCTGAACTACATAGAAAACGTGATCATCCAGTGACACATCTGAGTCGATAATCACACCAACTCGAAAAATGTAAGACCGCATTGTAATTTCCTTTTCTCTTCTCGCTATTCAGGTTTAGGTTGGCATTGACTCCATGAATCTGTAGACTTGAGAGTCATCAGCATAGTGATGTCTATACTCCTCATGTATTTCCACGACACTTCCAAGCCCCTTCATATACAAGGTGGAAAGAACCGTTCCTAAGACGGATCCTTGTTGAACCCCACACGTTAGACATGATGGGTCTGGAGACACACTGACTTCTATCGGACAGGTACGATTTAAACCACTCTAAAGCTGTTCCATCGATGAGAAATTCCAACTTCAGACGTTCCAGAAGATTGCAGTGATCGATGGTGTCAAACGCACTGCTTAGGTCAAGAAGTACCAAAACTGCACGCTTCTTGTTATCAATGCTAAGTCGAATGTCACTGATCACTTTCAGCAATGCAGTTTCCGTTCTGTGATGGCTTTGGTAGGGGGACTGGAGATGATCATGAAGGTCATGTTTATCAAGATGTTCAGAAAGTCGTGTGCATACAGCACACTCAACTAACTTGGAAATATAACTGAGATTAGATACTGGCCGGTAGTTGCTAAGCAGATCTAAGTTGGGCCTTTTCAGGAGTGGCATCACTAGTGCAGACTTGAAGGAGACGGTACTATTCCATATTCAAGACTAGTGTTGATGATTTTTGTAAGACTCGGTACTAAAAGATCAGTATGATCCCGGCCAGGCTTTGGAATAGGGTCAACAATGGCATTATGCCACGAAGTTGGGAAATTCCCTGAAGTCCATATTTAATAAAAAAATTCTCAAAGGATTTCTAAACATGATTCCTGCAAATGCTTCAAGAGCTGATGGTGAATATTATAAGCTCCTGTTGCTGTATCATGAGCTTGCTCAAGGGCGGTATGGAGCTCATGTAACGAAAATAATTCTTTATAATCTTCGCCATTGTCTGAGTTAAAATGTATTCTTTTATTCTCCGTTTGTGATAGTTTTGAAACTCAGGGACATAATTTGATGAAGATGAATGCTTGGCAAGAATTTCACTGTTTATTTGAAATATCAGTTTTATTAGTTAATAAATTGGATTTGGAACCTTTGTCCTTTATTCACTGGATCTTGTTCCACACCTTGGACATAGGTGTACGTAAATTTATTTTGGAAACATAATTTCGCCACGACTGACCCTTATTTTGTTTAAATATCCGTATAGCTTTAGCATTAGCAATTTTGACCTTTCTAGATTATGGACAGTAGGACGTCGGCGAAAATATTTTTCGACATTCTTCCTACATTTTCTGGCCTGTTTACATTCAGTATTAAACCATGGTTTACGAATATCGGCGATCCAGGGAAGGAATATGGAATTGCAGAGGGCACTTAGGAATTATTTTGTCAGGAATGTCATTTAGTATATCCGAAAAAGACTGTATAGTATCTTTACTGTTCCTAAAAAGATCATGCTTCAAGTGTTCAACACACAAAGTCTCATATAATGACAACTGTATCTCATTGAAGCTATTCTTCAGCCGTCTGCAATCCCATTGAATTCTGTTGGCCAACTGAGTCTTGGTGCCTCCATTGGCGATCTCTCTCGTGAATGTGAGGGGGGAGCTGTTCCTCCTCCTGTCCTGCACGGACAGAGTTACCTCCATATCCAGAGGCCCAAATGAGTTCTGTAAAGGAACCTCTGATGGTGAAGGGACGGTAGTTGTTTCTGTTCTGTTTAATATTTTCTTTTGGTTCTTTTTTGTCGAATGATTTATTGCTGGTTGTTTAACAGACGTTCTTGATTTTGCCGTAGACTTGTTGTCCGTCTGCGATGCAGACGTTGACTGAGTAGCTTGAGAAGGTAGCATTGTTGATTCTGAAGCAATAGGCTTCTCTGACTTGACCCGTCGGGTGGCGTTGTTAACTTTACTGCAAATACCAGATAGAGCCTGTGAGATTACAAACGGGTTTAGTTTAATGGGTAGGAAATCTGCAGCCTCAATCACCAAAAATCGTGGACAGGAATCACTGGTTGGAGTATGTTTTCCAGTTGAGAGATCTAAGTCCTCTAAACGTCTTTTCTTTTCATTTCGAATTGAACCAGCATGTGTAAGCTCCATGATGAATGGAACTAATTCAGCACCCCTGCTCCCCATCCACCACGGAGTGTTAACAAGGACAGTGTCAAATAACAAAGGGTATCCAAGATGCTGACACCAGAAATACAGGGGTATTATACTCCAGAGAAAACAACACAATTAGCTACATTTGTCTACCAATTTCATGCCCGACTGGTTCGGGAATTGAACCCGGGTCTTCGGCGTGACGAGCGAACCCTCGACCTGTGGCTACTAGTCTACGAGTAGTGAGTATTATAAATCTGCAGAGAAATACATCCCTCATGAATGTAAATAGACCACGAGTTGAATGAGAAACAGACACCATGTACGTAATACCTAAAACCTATGATCTAAGTGATAATTATAACAATAATGATAATAGGAAAGTGTTAGAGAGAGTTATTGAGCATCTGAGAGAGAGAGAGCCAGAGAGAGAGAGAGAGAACTCGAGAGCCGAGAGACAAATCGAGCTGAGAGGAAATCTCGAGCTCAGAGAGAGAGAGAGAGAGAGAGAGAGAGAGAGAGAGAGAGAGAGAGAGAGAGAGAGAGAGAGAGAGAGAGAGAGAGAGAGAGAGAGAGAGAGAGAGAGAGAGAGAGAGAGAGAGAGCGCGAGCATCTGTTCCCGAATGCCCAGATTCAGGACAACTCCGGGTCGAGTACAGATCGCGCTTAAAGGAAATCTTGAGCTCAGAAGGATCATGTCTGACAACAGGGCCCACCACCATCCTCGTTCCTCTCATAATCGTTTATATATGCCAAACAATTCGGGAGGTCGGGGTTTGATTAATGTGGAAGCTCTTCATGATAGATTTTTTTCGTGTACTTTTGCACATATTTTTTTATCAGATGATCCTCTGGTGATGCATGTCAAGGCTCATGATGAAAGCAAGGAATTCCAAACCTGTTTTAAGCGTGCCGAGGTTGTTGGACAGAAATTTGAGGTTGATTTTGTTGATGGTGATGTCCTGCTGGACGGTACAGCAAAACATGACACCCACAATAAAGAAACAGGAAAACGCATAAATAATGCAAGATTAATGTGTACCGCAGCTCATAAATGTTGCCGTCACGACCGCTTATGGAGGCCTCACTTATTACTGACTTCTTCTGTTCCAAGAGTCTATTCAATTAGGGTTATGGCATATGCATTATTTGTTAACTAGACTGGTGCTATAATCCACTTTTCATGGTCTGTATTGTTACCTAGATAATACATGTATGAAACAAATCTCTTTTCATAACAATTAATACATGACTTCGAATGTGGATTTCAGTTTAACAAGTGGCAAGTGGCAAGTTTGTACGTTGGTTGGTTGAAAATTCATTTTTGATGTCAACCTTTTGTAGAATCAATTCGTTCGTTAGATACCGACCACATTATGTGTACGTATATTCCTTTACCTGCCATCAAATGTCAACATATGAGGGTCACACACAGCATGGCATACACTCCCATCGGCAACAGACCCAGATCCGTCTTTCGAGACCTCGACCTAGAGAAGATATTGAATTCGCTATGAGAAGTCGGGAGTCCAAAACGTCCTTAAATGCCATACAAGATCAGGTCAGAATCCGCTCATAGAAAAATAAAATTGTTTGAATTCGTGCCTGCTGTAGTTGAAAAGAAAAGAAAATGCTCCTTTCTTACCTATGAATCAATATCTGCCACATTTCAGAGATAGCGATAAATATCCTGATGAACTCGATCTGACGTGTCTCTAGTTCATGCATTAACAACCCGTGAACATCCGGGATAGAATTGGTCTTCAGCAACCCATGCAACCCATGCTTGTCATAAGAGACGACTAACGGGATTGGGTGGTCAGGATCGCTGACTTGGTTGACAATTGTCATCGTATCGCAATTGCGTAGATCGATGCTTATGCTGTTGTCTGGTTTGTCTGGTCCATACTTGATTATTTACAACCCGTCGCCATATAGCTGGAATATTGCTGAGTGCGGCGTTACACAACAAACATTACCATTTCTGACTCATTATCATGTTTAAGTTCAACAACACATATTTTTCTAATATTTTTTTCTCACCGTAGCTATCCCGACGTTGTATTCATGAAAGAATGACATCTCATTGGATATTGTCGTCAGATGCAGTTTTGTTAAGCTGTAAAATGCTCCATTATCCAGCGTAGTTTCTCCTGTGACTTGGAAATGATACCACGTGTTCGTATTCTGGAGAGCTAAATTGCAGTCTGTTTGTACCAATGGTTTGGGGTTGCATCCTGTGTTGTCTCCAGGTGGTGCTCTCACTTCCAGATTGACACGACAATCCCCAAACTTAGTGCCACATTTGAATGGCACAGTTGAAAATACAGACAGTTGTTTTGTTTCACCTTGTTTTTACAGATAAGGTGGTATTCTCTATCTGAAAATGAAAACAGATATAAACATAGGAAATCATGAAATGCAAAGGTAAAATAGCAAGTATACTACTGGAATAAAGTAACTGCATTTTCCTGTCATCCTGTGCCCTTGCACCAGGCAAGACGTGCCTGTCGGTGACGCCATAGCAAAATTGGACGTATTCAAAACGTCGGGTCCAGATATTGTGCTCCCTCAGTCGGGTTCTGTAATTCGGTCTTGGAATTGATTAGACGTTAGCCAGGAATGGTCCGAGGAGGTAAACTGGCAGTCTGGAATCTTTTCCTTTAATGGGTCATTCAAATGAGGTTGTATTGCTGACCTGACTCATCGCGTGGACGGCAAATCTCTCGTGTTCCCATTGTATTGAAAATGTCTCCATTGAGAAGAGATCGTGTTTCGATTGGCACCAACATTTCTGGCCACTATATTTTGGGCCTTTCCAGTCTCCAGCATACCCATGGCACGGAGACGCTGATTTTCAGTAAGCCCTGGCACAGCGGATGCGCAGTTTAGGTTAAAAGTATCGTGTTTTCCACAACATTTAGAGGCTCGAAAATAATCAACCGTTCTTCAAATGCTACATGCTACGCGCAATACTTGACATCAAATTTCATACAAAGTGCGTTTCTACAGGCTTATTTAGAGTTATTTTTTATAAAACTTTTCAAATAACTTTTACTTTATGTTATGTATTTGTTTTTCCGTTAGTATAGTATGAGACGACAAACTTCCCATACCAGGACGTTTATGTTTGTAACAAAAAAAAAGAGCAAATCGTCTACTAGCAGTTCATCTTCGTGCCAGTCGTAACACATTTGCCTTGTCTTGGAAATGGTTCATGGCCGGGAAAGCTAAATTCGCGACGTTTCTCGGTTGAATGAGCATAGCCTTGGCGGTACTTGCAATGCAGTGTTATGGCTGAACGAACACAGCGCGCCTCACTCGGAGACTCACACAAATTACAAGGAAAACAGGATTAACGTGAACACTGTTTAATTTAGGCAAATATAAAAATATAAATAAAGGTATTTACACAGGTTTTTCAGGCCTATTCTTCATATACATTTTCTTTAATTCAACATTAAATATCGGACTACTGTCAATGTGCTTCAGGTTTAGGAAAGTTTGAGCAGTTTGGACACGTGGCCTGTGTAGGTGATGTCCCCGATAAAGTTGTTCACAGTATCGTCCTTCAGGGCTCGGATTCGGGATTCGGTTCCCTCCGACCTGTTCGGCAGCAAGCAGAATACAAGAGGAAACATCTGACACTCTGCCTCAGGTTGGAATGTGTTCGGATCCGGATGATTGTGGGTGTGCTCAATGTCCAAAGTCTGTGTTCACTTGTCACTTAAACATCCAGCCTCTGTGAACTTCCAGTAACCCGTTTCTCTCTTATATCGGTGCAGACGAAACTTGTTTCTAGCGTAGTAAAGTTATCTTCCTCCACGAACTGACTCGATGAAGTTACCTCTAACCTGCGCATCTGTCATCACTGTTACGAGAGTGTGTCTTTTTGTAATTTGTATTATCATTGATTGAGCGATAGTTATTATGGGTCACAATGTTTAAAGTTTTGAGTGTGGGTTGTGAGTCACATTTCGCATCATATATGTTCAATGGCAGTACTATTTTCATTGGTACACCTTTTTGATAGCGCTCCTGGGTTACCTGCCCTTGACAATATTTTGTTTAACTTGTTGACTTCCGCCGTTCAAGAATGTACTGAGTGAATAATGATACAACTGGGCTTTGCTCGAATGTTCTAGACACTGTGTCAGTATATATAAAGGCTGCTTGTGTTGACAACTCACGGAATCACACACGGAATTACACGGGAGTTTTCTTATCACTGGAATTGTGTACATCTGTCTGCCGTCATCTGCTTACGCTCGTCGACTGTCTGTCAATATTGTCAAGACCGATCGTCTGCTGATACCGTAAACAACCTTCAATTAATATATCTGATCTCACTGTAAGATGTGTCAACCAGTTCAGCGAGCCTGGTATCCCGTTAGTCACCTCTTTCGACAAGCATGAGCTACTGAAAATCAATTCTAGCCCGGGTGATCACAAATAATGCATCAAAACAAAAGTAATGAGCCTCAGAGTTACTATGGATGATTCAACATCGACAATGCTGATGGAACAGGACAACTGTCACGCCAAAGACCCAGGTTCAAAGTGTGAAGCTCATTACTGGTGCCCCCCCTCCATACTGTTGAAATACTAAAAGTCGCTCCTATTCATTGTTGTACAGTGCTGTAATTGTGTTACAGCGAAGATTCAGTAGATGGCAGTGTGCATGTTATTAAATTTAGACTCGGTATCTAGAAGCTTCTAGAGCAGCCAGAATATTGTGACCCCGCATGTTACTGAACGTTCCATTTATGGAGTGAGTGAGTGAGTTTAGTGCCGTTCTCAGCAATATTCCCGCTATATTGTGGCGGTCTGTAAATAATCGTGTCTGGGCCAGACAATCCAGTGATCAACAGCATGAGCATCGATCTCCGCAATTGGGAACCGATGACATGTGTCAACTAAGCCTGCGAGCCTGACAACCCGATCCCGTTAGTCGCCTCTTACGACAAGCATGGGTTACTGAAAGTTCATTCAAACACGAACCTTCACGGGTATCCATATCCGACTTGATGTTTGTGTCTGCACATAATGCATTTACCATTAGTGTGGCACACATAATGTTGCCTGTTGCTTTCTACTTCTTTCTCTATTGTCACTAACAGTCTCTCCATAAGCATTGTTACGACACAAATACTGTTGTTGTTCGTCGCCAATTACTACGTCTCAGATTATGGAACGCACCAAACCAAGAACTTGCTGCAACATTTGGAAAGGTAAAATAGGACAATTTTGTCTTAAGCTTTGTTCACATCTAAGAGATCTGCCAAAAGAGTTTTAATGTACCAAAATGTCAATCAGATGGAAAAGTTAATCATTCATCATCAGCAGATACACCCAGTGGCCTTTATTCCTCACCAAAATGCTATCTTTGAAATGATTATAGCAAACTGGAACCTTGCCACCACCTTTCAAAGAGGGCGCCCTATTGACAAGAACTTGGAGTCCTGAGTCTGCTCCCTGCAACTTAATCAACTGCTTCCTGCCCAGAACCTTTTCTAATGCCTAAATACTCAACAGTTTGAATGATCGAGGAACGTGTTAGCCATACTGTAAGTGGAATCATTCTCTCAAGAACACTAGAAGGAAAAACACCTGGAATTTCTTTTTCAAGGGTTTCCTTACTTTCTGAAGTGCTAGGCTAGGCCCTATGCCAAATCAGGAGTTTGACAGGAGTTTCTACAACCCGCACCTTAGCAAGTCCAGACATTGAGTCAGCTGTCAAATCCATAAAATTGAGAGGCACACTTGTAAACCACATATAGCAGCTCTCGCATAAAAGACTCTACTGACAGGTCTACAAACACTAACTTCTCCTTAGCCAAACAACAAGTAGGTTCAAGAAGTATCTGTAGAATCAACTGGAGTAGAACTTTAGAACTTGACCATTTGTCACCAAACCTAGAACCAGACTTTGAAATGTTTGAACAAGAACTAGGAGAGTTTACAACCTTGCACTACTGCCTGAAAACCCTGTTTGCCTATAATCCTCAAAAATCAAACCAACTTCCTTAAAATATCACAATCACTACTGATCCCTTTAGAAGAATATTTCCTATCAAATCTTTCTTTCTCCCTTGAAAGAGGTGTGCCATTACCTTTTTACCAAATTTCTTACTCCATTCCGAATGCACTCCAGCTATTTGTATCAATTCTTGTAGCATGCCCGAATGTTTTGAACATGTTCAAAACTTTCGAGGTACATTCGAAGTGGAAAAATATCGAACAGCATTTGAAGTGCGTTCTAACTGCATTCTAAGTATTCTTACTGCATTCAAAGTATTCTGAACGTATTCGAGGGAGAATAAAAAAAAAGCAAGCCACTTCAAATCCTGCAAGAATGTCCCAAATGCGCCTCGAATGTACTTCGATTGCTGGTGGAATTTAGGTGGAATACTCCTCAAACATATCGGAATATTTCGATTGCACTTGGAATACAGCTCGAATGTACATCGAATGCACCTCGAATACAGTCAGAACGTCTCGAGTGCTCTTCAAATGAGCCCTGGAGTCATCAGAACACCGCCGAATCCCTTAAAAACGTCACTGAAGCTTCAGACATCATTCACACCTTCAAGCTGCGCAAGTTGTCTCCAGACTCCTGGCGCCACGTTGTGCCGCTCATCTCCCTCATCCACCATACCATTGTGGAGATTAGGATAACGAGTCCTCATCAACTTGTGCAGGCAGACACATCATTCAATGATGTCCTTCACAACGGACGGCCTTGGCAGCATGGTGATGAGGAGGATTTGCCAACTGTGGGCCTTGATTTCAAATGCATTTTCCACTACCCATCAGCCCCGACTGATCCTGTAGTTGTTGATTCTCTCGTCTCTCTGGAGAGTCATAAGACCAAACGGTTTCACCAAGAAGGCTCTTAATCCAAAGCCATCCTCTCCCAGAATAAAGCATGGTCTACGCTAGTTATCTTGTGGTAAGGAGAACGGATCAAGAAATCCTATGCTCCCGTCTTCAAGACAATCCTCGAGCTCGCACTTGTTGGAGATCTGAGCATCAGACATACTTCCGTAAGCACAAACGTCCGCCCACAAGGGCCATTTGGACCACAGAAAAGAAGCCCTTGTAGTTGTGGTACAATGTGCTTCCCTTGGCAGGTTTCCTAATGGCCACATGTTTGTCATCTAAAGCTCCTACGGCATGAGGTATATTCCACCAGTTTCTGAATACCTCTTCAATGGGTGTCCATTCTTCTGGAGTGGAAGGGCAGATGATAACCTCATGCCTTGTATTCTCCCAAATGACCTTACATACTTCTGAGATGATCATGTTGATTGTGTTCCTTGCCACGCGGAAGCTGTACATGATGCTGGGGTATCACCTGAAGCCAGGAACCTCAATGTGATGGCTAGCTTCATATATGTATCCTGCTTCTGTATTCTTGGTCCCTCTTTCTGCACCACCCCATCAAACATGGCAGGCTCCATCCTAAGGTTGTTGCTCTTCCATCAGTCTTGTGTAATGTCAAACAGCCTCCTCCTTTCCTCTGTCAGCCATGGTCCGGTCTGGAATCTCCTGGGCCTTTCCTGTTTCTTTTCCACATCTCTTTCAATCTGGGCTTGCTGGAGGACAGCAATCGGGAGCACCACAACATGGTCCAGGTGGTCCATACTCTATGGGAGTTGGGCAGAGACTGATGATTAGTCCAGATTCAACCGGTTTTTATACCCCATCGTGGAAAATTCCGGCAGCATTCTTGATGCATACCGGACATTCGTGTTACATTCTAATTGCATTTGAAGGACATTTGAAATATTCGAGCTGCATTCTGTTTTAATTCTTTAACATTCGACCCAAATTAGGGGGCCATTCCAAGAAGGTTCTGAATGCATTCTATGTAAATTCGTGCAGCATTCGAGGTACGTTCCAATTGAAATTCGAGTGCTATTCACGCAGCAATCGAACCGGACTCGTACTGCAGTCTAATTCATTTTAATTTTTATTAGTGTATTGTAACGACGTTCTAGTTATTCCTACTGTATTCCGATTCATTCGAACTGCATTCGTGATCTAGTACATTTGGAATGAGTAAGAATAATTTGAGGCGGGTTCAAAGTGCGTTCTAAGTATTCCAACATCATTCTTACAAAGCTTGAAGAAAATTGTTTATTTAGACATTCTTTCCCGAATGCGGGCATAAAGCTCACTCTACCGTTATTCCTGCAAACTGCGGTGCACTCAGTCTTGATGGTCCCGGGAAGCCACCTGCCGTGTCCCGCAGTCTAACACTGCACCGCACCTACCAAAACAAATGTAAGAGGCAATGTCATTCTTCATGTTCAGAAATTTATCAAAGTACCCAGAATACACAGGATTAAAGTAGTAATTACACTATCACAGTTTCAAATTTAGTTTCTGATTTTTAGTTTATTCTTCAAATGCACATCCTCATTGAAGATTTACGTGACAAACAGAGACGGATTCCAAAATGGAAAGATGATAAAACAAAACATACTGACCTATTCTATCCAAACTTAGTTGCAAGTGGGGATGACAATATCAAGTCGTTAACACTTCAAAAGTAATGTCCGCCAATGAATCTACTTTGAGTGATAGTGGCTATACTTAATGGGAAAGGAATAACATCAAAGAAATATCTCTTGAAGCTATGAGACATTATGTAATGTGTGCAATTAGTTTAATCGACGTACATCAAATCCAAACTTGTGGAACCCAGCTTTTTTCAGATCATCTTCTGTCAACCTGGAACTTTCAACGTAATTTTCAGACCAGAGAGCAACATCCTTGACAGCGACATACTTGTCATTCACAAACCAGTATGTTTCGTAATGAAGGGGCATATTCAGTCTTTCAAAATTGCAGAGGAAAACGGCAAAACCCTGATAATCATTCTCCCTTGTTTGTATCTCCACACTACAGCTGTCAACAAGGTGAGTTGAAGGTGCTGCAAAATAACCATTGTCTTTGTCCAAAGCAACAACAAACTTTGTAATAATTACGGACACCATTGTGTTGAAGTATCAGGTTCAAGTATCAGGTTCGACTGTAAAATGATGAGTGCTAAGAAATATTCATTGACCAAGCTTTTTCTTTGAGACAAAACATCATAGTTCAACACAAGGGTGATTGTATCTGATATGTTTGTAAGATTGTGCATGCACATTATGTTCACCTTTAGATTGGATGAATTGCTTGACAGCAACTCGACAATAGCATAACACAATGTAGCATAAAGGAACAACGTCGTTAACTGCATATTGAAATACATTTGGAACAACATCTCTAGAATTTGGCACCAGTAACAAAAGTGGAACATGCTCTTGAAACATTGTTTACTGAACTAGAATAGAACCCTAAAGGATGACGCACATCATGGTGTTCTACAACAACAACTACCAAAGGTACTGTGGCTTCAGCGTTGCATCTTGTGCACGCACTTAAAGGTCTACATTCTCTGTGAACTGTGACGGAGTTGTATGAGGCGAGCGAGTGCTCACTCATTCATTACCCCAGGAGCTTGGCACTTTGAGCATCTGTTTATAGGTGCATAACAGATATCCATTTATTTTTTATTATTCATACTACAGTTTAGTTCACGTGACATGTTCCCGTAGCGTCTTGTTGGTAAAAGTTAAGAAGCTTTCCAACAAGACGCTTAGTTAAAATTATGCCAGATTGATGCCAAACATTTAACCAAAAGTTAAATATCTTTATAGTTTCTAACAATATGTTTTAAGAATGCTTTAAAGAACATTGAGAAAAACAAGCAAAATATGTTAATACACATATGGAAAAGTATCGCAACAGGTCTATTATGGCGGATATCCTGGTGGAAAAGGGTAGAGTTTCTATGCCCTCTTAACGTACACAAATCACTAAAGGCACTTGCAATGTGACTTAGCAGTGTCGTCCATGAAGCCTGTCCTTTGTTAATATAGTTGTCATCAGAATGTGAAACCCAACAACCCAGTGATGTACCGTTGTCCATTCAGTTTTTGTTCTAAAAAGCACACGTCTTCAAAATGCCCGAGACAGTAACAACTACTTTGGATTGTCATCCCATGGAGCATAATTATATAGGATATTGTGGATCGCAAAATTTGCTAGAGAGATTTTCCAGTACACAATTGTAATGTATTTGAACAAGCCCTCCACCAAGAATGAAAGGAATTACCTCGCCGTCAAATCCAACGTATGATCAGGAATGTCACGAAAGTTATTGCAGTAGGTTGAACATGATCATAGTTATCAGCACTACAAAATGAGTCCATTTTTCCCCATGTTTGTTTCAATGAATAAGCTATACTAGTTTTACATTATTTTGGGGCTTAGACTTGCCATTCATTTATTTGATAAGTACGAAATCATTCAGATAGTTATTTAAATTAAGGTTTGGATACGTCTTTTGCTCTGGTTAATGATAACAAATTGATGCTATAAAAATATAGGGGTTTGGGATACTTTTGTCCATGAAACATGAATTTTCGAATTTGACTTTGCACAGCCTCTGTAGCAAATCAAAACTCCCACGAATATCCTCCATTACAGACTTAACACGACAGTTATATAAAGGGACCACTCAGTTATGACGCCAAACAAGGATAATCATAAGGAGCCTGAAGCAAGTCTGGATCTGTTCTAACCCGCACATCTACTTACGATTGTCCTCATTGACATAACCTGAAAATAAATATTAATCGTTTAGTATCCACCGGTACAAGCATATGGATCACAGCAAAATATGTTCAGATGCCGAACTTTGCAAAAATGAAATCAGGTGATAAGGATTTGTGTTTTTTTAAAGTAAATACAAACTATGTATTAAGACAATGAGCGAAGGAAAATAATTTATTTCATATTTAACGCTCCACTCAGCAATAGCAATATTTTAGATATATGACACTGGCCTGTAGATTGGCTTGGCAGTCTTTCTAGAGTTCGATATTATGAACATCGATCCAAAACCAAGTATTGATATATTGCGGTGTCAGGGGAACGAACTGTAGAACTGAAATGTATTGTCCATAGAATGTATGCAAATTTATTCTTCTCAATTAAATACCCAGGAAGATATATTATGAGAAGTTAGTTTTCTGTTGCATCCACATCTGCATTTTACTATTTCTTCTAGAGGTTATAGTTCGTCAAAAGGTTAGGAGATAAACTTCCTTTCTGATAATTAAATTATTGTTTGTTTATGGTTGTGGCTGTACAATAAAATTGCAAACTTACCAACACAGTAAACAATCTTATCCGTCGGAGGCTTGGTCAGCTTGTAGATTGTTTGGTCTTCACACGACATCGCATCGATTGTCCATGTCCTGTAGCAGTCGTCCGATGAATGCTGCATGCACATGGTCAGCTGGTGTTGACCTTCTGAGTCACCGCCCTGTTTACCTGACAAGAGTTTTCATTGTTAAGCGTCTTGTAAGTATAGCTGCAGGAGTCGCGCAATAGAATACACTCAAACACCGTTGTATCGAGCTTGAAAGAACCTACGAAAATGCTTCGAGGTATTCAAGGGTTGACACAACCGCAAAATGATGGCAAAACTAACTACGCATGGACAATGTTTTACTATAGTAGCCACATAGAGAAACTGTGCATTGTCAAAATATTATCCCAGTTGATAAGTATGATAACAATGTCAAAAGTACATATAAACTTTAATGGAGGGATCATGAGACTATAACAAGTCGGGAGAATTTCAATTGAAAAGTCAATCACAATGACGTTACGAGTCCACAAGCGGGACAGGGGTCAAACGACCATGTCACAAGCTCAATAACGGGTATGTCCACCATCGGCATTGAGAACAGCAGTGCATCGACGACGCATAGAGCCTATCAAACATGCAAGGAAGGCTTGTGGGATGTCACGCCAGATTCTCTCAAGTTCTGTTGCAAGGTCAAGGACGTTATCTGGCGGATGAGGAAGACGGCGTAGACGTCGATCCATCTCGTCCCAAACATGCTCTATCGGGGAGAGATCCGGTGAATTTGCAGGCCAATTCAGTAAGTCAACGTTGTGGTGTTGCAAGAAATCTATAGCAACCCTTGCCGTATAACGTTCTCCCACGCGTCTATAGGCACGTTGACGTCCATCACTATGGGAAATGTTAAACCTGGACTCATCTGTAAAAAACAACATTTATCCACCAAAACAAGGGTCTGCGGACACGATTTCGGCACCACATTCGGCGAGCTTGTCGATGACTTTGTGTCAGGATAGGCCGTATGGCAGGACGTCGTGGTCTGATCCCGTGATGACGTTACCGTTGTCGAACTGTGTTGGGGTGGATACGGCGAAGTCCTGGGATGGTTCGGGCAGTCATCACTGCAGTCTCAAACCTGTGGCGAAGATGGGTCACCCTTATCCATCTGTCCTGTCTTGGCGTTGTTACACGTGGACGCCCAGAACGTGGCCGATCGATGACGTCATTTGTGTTCTGGTAGCGTCTCACAAGTGCAGAAATGGTGTTCCGGTGGCAGTGGAAATGTGCATCCACTTGTCGTTGAGACATTCCCCCACGGACCATCCCAATGGCCTCGTGACGTTGTGCAGACGTGAGCCTTGGCATGCTATGCGTTTCAATAGCCGTTAAATTTTTTGAACGATCGCAAGGGCAGGGGTTGAACTCCAAAATGATAACTAAACAATACGAAGGAACCGTTCTACCTTCGAGACAACAGCTGCTTCAATTCAGGTTTTTATTACTTCCACCAAGAACAGAGGCAGGAGAGCTAAATATACAAAACTGACAGATATAGTAATCGAATCTTAATCAAACATGATCAAACCTTGAACCCAGGCCGGGTACCTCCCTCCACAGTGGAGTAGTCCAGGGGCAAAGTCCAGCAGCTTGTATCCCGGCTCCCCATACCATGCTCCTTCAGTACTCATGCCGTAGTCATCGAAGACTTCCTTTTCAAACGTGTGGATCCTCTGTTCCAATTTTGTGAAGGACTTGTATTCAACACCACCGCATGTCATTGCTGCAATGGAAACTTAGGAATATGTTTTGGCACACAGAAGACCAGGAACCCAATGCTTTTGTTCGAGAGAGAGTTCTAAACTCATGTCCTAACTCTGTGGCTTGTCATCGTTGTGGTGAATCACTTGCTTGATAACGAACCTATATATTGTCATCCTTCATTAACTGATAAAGCCGACATTGCAAATAATCACGGCGAATCTCTTGACAATATTCCCCAACAAACAATGCCCCTAAACAACAGGAGAAGACAAGAATAAATATTAACTCTGACATTGTGAAGATTACACAAAAAACTATTTTCATTACATGACGTCCATACTGTCCTTTTGCAGGCAAATGATACATCAACATGGGCTGATAATATTCACTATCAGCCTTTAAAGCATTTGCATGAATCATGTCTCGACATCCTTTTCGAAATACACGATCAAATATGGACTTCAGGGAATTTTCTAACTTCGTGGCATTGTGCTATTGTAGTCCAAATACCAATGCCTGACCAGGATCATAGAGATCCTTCACATCACAGACCCTTTTTTGAACCAACTTTTTATATAAACCCGGAGAACGAAAGGCACATAATAGATTAGTTTGGTACCTGGAAACTATTAACTTCGTCAGAAATATTCAATCTGGTTTCCGGAAAACTCAGATTACTGTTGATAATTAAATACGACTGGAATGCTTTCTTAAAATGCTACAATAACTCAACGACATGCAGTATCAATTTTCTTTAATCTGAAAAAAGCTTATGATGCTACCTAGAAGCTTTGCGTTTTTTTAAGGATTTCATGATGCTAGTTTGAAGGGTCGTTTGCCTCATTTTATATCACAGTGTTTAACAGTTAGGCAATTTAAAGTTACAGTTGGCCTAACCATGTCTCAGCATTACCATCAGGACCAAGGTGTTCCACAAGGCAGTAATTTTTTCTGTGACTGTATTTAGTATTAATATCAACAGGTTTTTATCATCCATTAATCGACTGATCCCTTTACGTGGATGACCGTAATGGTTCCATTCATGGTAAAAATATGCATAAAAGGCACAATGTCACATATTTTCGACAATATTTTGGCCTATATATTATCACTTGGGGGCATATGCACTCACGTTGGTGTCACGTACCAAAGTAACCACAACAGAAGAATAAGTTTTTAAAACTTTATTCCTTCTGTTAAGATATAATTAAACCCAAATAACTATACAAAGATAAACTAATTCTAACAGAACTAATACAACTAACTATAGCTACCTAAACTAATTGCACGTACATTTCTGCCTACCTCTAATAATGCTAAAGTTACACTATCAACACTACTACTATACTATACTATACTATACTATACTATACTATACTATACTATACTATACTATACTATACTATACTATACTATACTATACTATACTATACTATACTTAATACCCACATTAATATAGACAATGCCTATATATATACGAAATTGAACCCTAAAGAAATGAAATAACAACAATGAAAATTGCCACTCTATGCCACTCAGGTATATAATACTTCCTCATGAGAATGTCGGTGCACTTTTGTTCCACTTTATGACACGTGCTGTGTATTGATGTGTGTACGCGCAGAACACTAAGTTTAGCCTCTCAATTAAATTTACATAAAATTTAAGTTTAATATTATGAAATTGTCAACACAAGTGCCTGTTGTATAACGGATTATTCACTGGAACCACTTATGTTAATAATTCAGATACATACCGGTTCCAGGTTCAAACCCAGGTTGCTGCCTAAACTTCTGCAAATGTATAGGCTAATTCATATCCTGGCAATCTGATCACATGATCAGAAGCACATGGGCTCAGTCAGACAGAAGGCATCCATGCTGTGAGCAGCACATGTTGAGTTATAGCAGAACACAGATGTGAGTTATTTCTTGAATTTATGTTGCTTCTATGTCCAAAACGAGTTAAGAGAAAATACATTTGATTTAATTATTTGCTTATTTAGAAAATATGGAATTTGAATGTTTGTACACTTTAATACGTTCAAGTTTGTATTGTTTACTCAGCAAGTAATTTGTTTCTCTTTTGTGTGTTTTCTGAACCTCTCGTCAACTGTTTTGTACGCAACGATAAAAGATATGTACATAATACAACGCTACAACGAAGATAAACACTAAGAAAACGGAAATAAACTTTGGTGAGAGCATTTCAGTCCTGATGTGATTCTTGCCACAACATCGTGGTACCTCTCGCACACGGGCGATGGTTTCCCTCATAGAAAAGAGTCTGCCTGTGTGGTCGATGACGGCTGTGCCATCTATACCTCACTCTCACTCGGATATAAACATCTCCTTACTAGTCCGCGGAGAATCTTGTCTCCTTGCGATCGGAGATATTTCACCACCCGGATAACCGTCTAGCTCCGGGACACTACAATACAATACAGGTGACTACAGTTACTCATAAAGGCATGTGTCATTACCTTATACTTTGCACACTACTCCGATTTACATTTTTGAAAGTGGAACTGTTTACGTGGAACGGTAACTTCATCTTCATTACGTGGCTATATAAGTTTACAACAATCATTGTCACTAAGGTGACATAATCCCCCGCCGCAAATTATCAAATCAAACTTATAAAGTAATGAAAGTTTAAGTTATATGTCAACAAAAACATGACCTGCCAACCTCTCTTGATATCTTGCTCTTTAGGTGTTCAAACACACACATATTTTCAAGACTGACTTTGACCTTGACATGAATGTCATAGTGTATGAAATATGCAAAAATAGTACTAAAGAAATTGCTTATTGAAAAACATTTAAGGGAAGTCTTGAAAGTCTGAAGAAAATCCAGTGAACCGTTCTTGAAATATCTTGCTTACAATTCAGGTTAACATGCTGAAATCTTCAAAGTGTCGCTGTGACCTTGAAAATTAAGTGAAGGTCACCAAAATCGACTGGGCCCTGCACCTTCCCTGGATAAAGCTTGGTGTCAAATATGAAGAAAATCCAGTGAATGGTTCTAGAGGTATCTCGCTGACAAGCATAACCTGCAGGTTAAGATGCTAAAATCTTCAAAGTGTCTCTGTGACCTTGAAAATTAAGTGAAGGTCACCAAATTCGACTGGGCCTGCGCCTTCCCTAGATAAAGCTTTGTATTGATGATGAAGAAAGTCCAGTGAACGGTTCTTGAGATAGCTTAACATGCAGGTAAAACGTGAAAGTCCCCTTGTGACCTTGAAATGAAGGTCAAGGTCAACAAACTTGACTTGGACCTTTCTTATACTGAGATGAACCTAGATACCAAATATGAAAAGAATCTAGAGAACGGTTCTTAAGATAATCCAATTCGTACGTACGGACGGACGGACGGACGGACGGAGCCTAATACTATATCCCCCGCTTCGCGCTAAACGCGCGGCGGGGGATAATAATTGTATGCATACACATATCTAGAAAGAATCCATCAATTAACAAGAAGACTAAATTATCAATATCCCCCGCAATGGCAAAATACTCTTCATGATTATGTCTACGGGTTATGATTATGTCAAATATTTAGGTGTGTATATAGAAAAGTAGAAGGAAAGTATTGAAAGGTTTTTAAAGTTCTGCTCCAGAAAGGAGCACTATCACCAATTTCAGTCTATGTCAAACTTGTTGCCATGGAAAAGGAAAAAATATTTTATTCAGAAATCCAAAACTACCAAAAGGCACCAGTACACCACCAGATCTATGTATGTGCCAAGTTTGGTGAAGAAAGATTGAACGGTTTTAGAGTTCTGCTCCGGAAAAGTGTACCACCACTAATTTCTGTTTTAGTCAAACTTGTTGCCATGGAAATGCCAAAAATATATTTATTCAGAATTCCAAAACTAACAAAATGGAACCAGTACACCACCAGACCAATCTATGTGCCAAGTTTGGTAAAGAAATAGTGAACGGTTTTAGAATTGAGCTCCAGAAAAGAGCACTTCCACCAATTTCAGGCTAAGTCAAACTTGTTGCCACGGAAACGCTAAAAATATTTTATTCAGAATTCCAAAACTACCAACAGGCACCAGTACACCACCAGAATTATCTATGTGCGAAGTTTGGCGAAGAAATAGTGAACGGTTTTAGAGTTCTGCTCCGGAAAAGACAAATGTGCACGGACGGACGCACGGACGGAGTCCATTTTAATAACACATAACTCTATGGGATTCACTTGAAATAAGATGCCAGGCGAGTCGATTTAATGCGATGTTGCATAAATTCATTCGAACTTTTAAATTTAATATTGTTATCTAAATGAAGTCAAATACAATTTAAAATGTATCGTGCCGAGTTGTTCAGAACCGGTTTTGCATTCCATTCAACTTCAAGTTGCTCGAGGGACACATGCCATTTTCCAAGACGCGCTTGGCAACAGGCTGGAATACAAACTCACGTTCAACAACTACAGCAAAGTCATTTTCGCGATCGACCAGGACAGCAGCTACAGCGTTGACGTTATGGTCGTCAAGGATCTTTGTCACAAAGTCGGACAATACCTGACAAGGACACTGGAAAAAAAATCCACATTTACAAGCTTGGAAATGTCTTGGAAAGAAGATGTTTCCAAGACATTTCCAATTTTGGGAAGATGATGTTTCCAAGACATTTCCAATTTTGGAAAGATGATTAAAGATGATGTTTCCAAGACATTTCCAATTTTGGGTAGATGATGTTTCCAAGACATTTCCAATTTTGGAAGGATGATGTTTCCAAAAATTTCCAATTTTGGAAATATCCGCAAGGGGAGATAACTGGTGGGTGATGGTAATGATTGTTCTGCATGGGCTAATTGCTATAGTGGCATGGGGGCGGCATGAGTGTTTCATGGGGGCGTTAAGGCGACTGGCGGTAGTCTTTGATGTTTGGTGTTGTTTAAGTAATGATTGTTTAGGGATTAACGAAAGGATTATCGACTTGACCAGTCGAAATTGCAGTGGTGAACACATTTTAATTGTTCAATGTTTTGGGTGAAAAGTGAA